TTGTAAAAATAGCTTCACAAAATGTAAAAATATGAAGCTTAATAATTTTCTCTTATAAAGGAACTTGTTTGCATATATATGAAAAACATCAAGGCCATTAAATGGGCAAGTATAAGCACTTACAACTCACAGATGAGAAAATAATAGTAAACTAAGCCATGGGAAAATGCTATAATAATAAAAGATATGAATATTTAAACAATCTTGAGATTATGCTACAGCCTTTTTTTTATTTTCAAGAAAAAGAAACCACCACCAAACACTAGTGAGGCTACAGTGAAATTAGTATACTCATTCATTTATGTGATAATCTAAATTGGTGTAACATTTAAAAATGAAGACAGCAATAGGCAATGAGACCGAGAGGTATTTGTTATACTCTGACATAACAATTCTACTCCTAGGAATTCAATCAGGAAATAATGCAAGAGAAGCACAATAACACAAAGTTGAATAAAATCTCTGCAGATTTATCTGTTACAGCAAAACTTAAAAATGATAAAACATCACAATACTTGCACAGTGGTATTGCACAGTGTCCATAGAATAGAATATACTGCAGTAATTTGAACAGATAATGAAGGTTATCTAGAAATAAGGACCATGACTTATGATAATTCAGGGAAAAAATAATGCTACAATCAATGGTGGATTGAAACTATGCTACAGAACTTTACTCTTCCAATGAATCTGAGAGAGGTGAGCAGAGCAAGGCCAAGTTCCTATCCTCACCCCACATACACCCCTTCCAGAACTCTATTGTTAAGTCCAAAAAAAAAAAAAAAAAAAAAGATCGCTGAGAATTCTCACTAATACTAATAATCCCAAATATGGAGAGAAGACAATTGAATTTTCTTACATTCTCCATCTTCAGATAGGGGAATACTGTTTTGAAAGGGCTGCTGGGGAGAACTAACACAGACAGGGAAAAGTGAACAAGTAGGCTCTAACTTACTGAAATAAATATTCTAAGGGCCACACACCAAACTGGGCATCTTCATCAATATATCACTTCCCCCAAACAATCTAGGATAATAAATACACCACCCAACTCGGTATTCTTACCTAGCACTGAGGTATTCTAACAAACACAACATCTGACCTCTACTGTATCTCCTAACCTAGTTTCTTTTCCAACAGCATCCCCTACCTAGGCACCAGAAACACACAGCCATTGTATAAGGCTACACAAAAGGAGGTATAAATATGGAAGATACCAGCTATCTTTAAATAATAATTTTTTAAAAGCTCCCCTACCTTAAAAATACTAGATAAAATATTATAAGCCATGTTTCCAAATAAACATACAGCTGAGTTGTAGAAACTAGAGCTCTGAGTCCCTGCAAAGTGGAGAGTCCCCAGCATAAAGCCAGGCGGACCATTTCTAAAACCCACCTCATGATAAATGATAAATGGCAACAATAGGGAAAACTATCTCTTATCAACTTGGGTCCCTAGGGGAGGGAAAATGGGGGCAGAATCTTCCCCCTGACAGTTTGTGACTGAAAACCTGCCTTCACAGGGGCCTAGATTTCAAATGCCTACTATTTGTGTTGGCAGTCAAAGAGGCTGTTGGTTGTTGGCTGTTTCTATTATCCCCTCCCTTCTATTAGAACGGATAATTTTTAGCAGGGCACATAACTACTCAGAACAAAGAATACACTTTCCAGCTTCCATTGCAGCTAGGTGTGTGCATATGAATAAATTTTGGCCAATAGAAATGAAGTATACCATTTCCAGAATGTATCTTCCTCTTCCCCTTTTGTCCTTTCCCAATGGCTGGAATGAAATAAGGTGGCAAGTAATCCTGGGCTTTGAAGATGAAGGCAACATGTAAGGGTAGTAGAGCAACAAGGGAGGAGCCAGGTCCTAGATAACAGTGGAGCTGCCTGCGATGCCAGCCCTGTGATGTTATGCCCAGACGGTTATGATGAAAATTAAACCTCTATTCTTGTTTAAGCCACTGTCATTTATTGTTGGTTTCTTTTTTAACAGCTAAATGTTCACCCTAATAAATCTGGAAAGCTCCAGGCTGAGAAATGAACCTAAAAGTATTCCTAGGCTACTTACACTGTGGGGTGTCTGGCAAAAGCAAGTTTTATCCGAGGGAGGATGTGTGATTTGTCTGCATGATTTGCACAGAACCTAGCTAAACAAGAATTCATAATCTAAACATATAAAACAGATGAGGAAACAAGCCACCAAGAGTTTAAAAAAAAAAAAACAAAAAACAGGACTCAACAGAAACAGGGAGCAGAGATTAAAACCCAACAAATTTCAGATGTGAATGATAACTATATTTAAAACTTTTAAAGAACCATAAAGGAGAATGGAATACGTGAGCAAAAAACAAGACACAACTTCAAAAAAAAAAACAGACTAGGCAGTTTTAAAAGGACTGAATAACTTTTGTAAACGAAAAACATAATCTTTGGGGGGAGGGGGGAAAAAACCCTGATGAATTGGTCTAGTAACATGCTAGAGCTAAAGAGTTGCCCAACGAATTAGAGCATCTGAAGTAATCGCAAAGAGAGCAGCACAGAGACACATGGCAGAAAAAGTCTAACATATGTCCAATCACAGCATAGTTTTAGGAAACAAGAAAGGAACATAACATTCAAAGAGATGATGATTGGTAATTTTCCAGAATTGATCAAAGACATGAATTCTCTAATTGAGAAAACACAATAAACCCAAATATGAAAAATAAAAAGAAATCTACCTTTGGACACAGAGAAGTGAAAGGAATTGCTATCTGGCCCCAAGACTTCTAAACATCAATAATGATGCAAGCCAAAGGACAGCACAATACAATCTTATAGGTACTAAGGAAAAATAACTGTCACCCTAGAACTGTACACCTAGATACAGTGTCCTTCAACAACAAGGGTAACAAACAGACCTCCAATAAAGGAACTTCTAAAAAAATAACCAGGAAGAAGGACTGAATAGCAAAGAAACTAGTAAGCATATGGACAAATGTAAACTTAACATTGACTTTGAACAATGAAAATCTGAGGACTGAAAAAGATAGAACTAGAATATTACACCATAATGAAGAAGTGTAATCTGATTTATGGTATCCTAAGGTCCTAGTATTTTGGGGGATAAGTGAGAAGATTATGATAGGATTTTGACTTTGATGAGTTAAGTATAAACATTTTTTTTTAAATGAGAGTGAGGAGGGGTTGGGTAAATTCACACCTAATGGATCATGCACACTATATGGGTGATGGGCACACTTATAACATTGACTCAAACTGTACAAAAGCAGTACATGCAACCAAAACGTTTATACCCTGATAATATTCTGGAAAAAAAAAAAAAATGTGTATAACTTCCAAACCACTGTGTGCGAGAGACAGGATTGGGGAGGGGCACAGGGAGAGGGCAAAATGGAATCTTAAAAACCCAATCAATATAAAAATAATATAGGACAGGCAAGAGGAATCAGAAAAAATAACAAAATAACTTGGAAGAAATAAATCCAAAGATATTAGTAATCACAATAAACAAAATGGACTAAAAAAATCA